ACAAAGATTTGTTTGTGGTTCAGTCAAATATCGCTGAGAAATCCTAACAGGTTTCCGAATCAGGCCGCTCCGCGCCCCAGATGAAACCCAACAAGAACAACTTAACCTCAAAGCTAATAACATTTGAGTACAAACTGACGGAATATGTGTGAATGTAGCACCAAACCTCTAAAATCTCTCTACAACTCGATGTGTGAAATACTCATGCAGTAAGCTCCTTGTGAGCTCCTTGTAAGCTCCTTGCGAGGCGTCGCTCAAATTTGCATTCTTCCAACAACTGGTTCATTTGGACACTGTGAAGTGAGGGACAGATTTGAGCACACAGAAAAGGAATTGTCCCTTGGGATTTGTTTGGATAGTCACCTTCAGCTGATGTAAATACAAAAAGATAGCTTTCACAAGGTACACAATGAAATAGAGAACTATCCAAGATTTTTGGAGCCCTGTAGACCTTCAGCCACTGGAAAATATCTAGGTGTGACAATTTTTGAAATAAATGGAAGTGACCAAATGGTTGGAAGGAGTGATCACTTGAAATACTGAAAAACAACGATTAAAGGATGCCAATGTTCTCAGCAAATATTTTCTTGCTTGCCAATCCTGAAACTTGTCATCTAATCGCAAATCGTTACAAGGTCCAATTTGATCGACTGCTGCAATGCACCGTATCCATAGAGGCCAACTAACAGGACCGCGCTTGAAAACCGTGCAATCCGTTTGAGACTTACTTATTTGAGTATATTGTATAATGTTCTTCACTTCTAAGGCGAGCACACCAGTGACACAATTGGAGTAAGTAGTGTACAATTTACTGTTCAGTATTTCGTACATGCTATACGGAATTAATGCCCGTATCGGATAGATAGTTGAAAAGTCCTTCGCTAATAACTATTTGAAAACTCACACTGCAATTTACTTAGTGCCGGGGCCAGGTTTCAGAAGCGACCTTCAAATCCACGTCTAGCAGTACCTTGTCCATCAAGCACTCCAGATTTCGTAACAGCGGTTCTGAAAAACAGGCAGTTTTCTCTTGTTATCTACCAAGCTCAGATGTCAGTGAAGTGCCAACACCGTTCGTTAACTTTTATGTAATAAAGGATCGTGTAAATTTCGATATGTCCTTTAGTGATGAAAGAAACATCACAGTCAAATACACCAGATCCCTTTCCACACTGTTACGCAAATGATGCTACTGTCTTCCGTGAGCGACGTTTAATTTCCTCTTAGATACCAAAACTAATGTGTGCGAATCCCGTCCTCTCTAAGTATTGTGAGCGATCATCACTACGGTGGTATATTCTAGGTCGAATTGTGTCTGATTAGGCACTTCGGTATAAAGCCCACAAGATGGCTTCTAGTCAACGGGATTATTGAAGATCCTCGGGCAGGGAATGCCCCGTCCACAAGATAGTTCGGTTTTAAAGAAAGCTGAGCAATCGTGAGTTGGTTCATCTGGAAAAGCAACACATTCTGGTACACATAAAGTGAAGAAATAAGGTATGAGATATCCATACTGAAACGTGAGAGAGCACTAGGACCGGACGGTCTGTATCCAGCCCTCTTCAAAGAAGGTGGAGAATCCCTGGTGACCCATCTGACAAAGCTTATTGATATTATATAGGACGAGGTGCCTGCAGAATGGGGCATGTCGACAGTTATCCCCATCTTCAAAAAACGTACGCGGACGCTGTGTGAAAACCACCGTGGCATCAGTCTGTTGGCCGCGGCATCGAAGGTGCTCTCTGGCCTTGTCATTCGAAAGTTGAGTGAACACAGGGAGAGACAGATCCGTGAAGACCAAGCTGAGTTCCGTCCAGCAAGAAGTTGCATCAACCCTCCGACAGATTCTGGAACAGCGACACTGATTCCAGCAGCCACCAGTGGTTGTATTTCTTGATCTGAAGGCTGCCTTTGACTCTGTGGACCGTCAGATACTATGGCAGTGTCTGTGAAGCAAAGGTTTCCCCGCTTAAGGCGCTGTATGCCAACACCTGCGGCCGTGTGAAGGTCTACGGGAAGCCCTCTCCTGAGTTCACCACACCAGGTGGTGTCCGACAGGGTTGTCCTGTTTCACATTTCCACTTAAATTTCAACTTTTTCATTGGTACGATCATGGAAGACTCACTAACAGCCTCTAATGCCTGTGGGGTCGAAGTGCTCCCTGGGCCTCCGCTCACAGACATCGAGTACGCAGACGACATAGCTCTTCTTGGATCCGACCCCGTGGCAATACAAACAATATTATATAATCTCAATAATTCTGCCTCGCGGTTCGGCACGCGCTTCACACCTGCAAAGTGTAAAGTGTTACCTCAAGACTGGGTGGGCTCGAAACCTAGCCTCACGCTTGCGGACTAACCGATTGAGGTAGTAGACAAATTTGTTTACCTGGGCAGCTGTATCAGTCCCGACGGACATTTTCATCCGGATTGAGAATACCAGAGCAGCTTTTGTGAACCTGCGACACCTTTGGCGTAGGCGTAACATCAGCTTCTCTGTCAAGGTTTACAAGGCTGCAATGCGCTGCATATTACCATACGAATCAGAAACCTGGCCGCTGCGCACCGAGGACGTCAAAGTGTTTGACCATCGATGTCTACGGAGCATTGCTCGAATCTGGTAGGATCGTCGAATGGTATTCGGAAAAAATAACTCGACCTCGATAGATGAAATGATCACACTACATAGGTTGCGCTAGCTTGGCCACGTGCTGCCTATGACAGTCGACCGACTTCCTCGAAGAGCTCTTTTCGCACAACCACGTGAAGGGTGGAATGGAGCCAGAGGCGGTCAGATAATGACTTGGCAGCGAAGTATGAAAGCCATTACCAGCAAACTCAGCTGCGCTAGTCATTGTCGTCTTCGTGGATGGGGACCCCGAGACGGGCCACATCAACGGTTAGGGACATTGTCAAATATAGCCCCGTCACGTCCTCAATGGCGCTCGTGCATCCAAGCTGTTGCTTTCACTGCATAGCTCCCTTCCAAATCCATTTGCTTGACAGACCACTGACAGTGCCGTATTTATGCACCAATTTATTAGCTCCTGCCTCCAATGCGCAGCTACCTACCCCAACTCCCCGAATCATCGGTGAAAGAAACTGTGGCAGCTACAACCTTTGTACAAGTACGCGGTTAGTACAGCTGACAAAGTTGATGAAGTTTTTTTAATTATGATCCACACACTTTTGCGAATCGGAACGATTCAAATTATGATCTGAATGGGTTCTAGTAATTCCACTTCTTCCGTTAAACCGCCGGATAAGGAAGCATGTTGTCCAGTGACAAGAATTCTGAAAATCCAAGTAGGCTTACTATCAGGGGCATCGATTAGGAATTCCACAGATCTCAAGTATATCTATCCTTATAATGGACACTTAAGTCTCTAGCTGTGAACTGTTCCACTTGGTGATTCCATAATCATTAATTCGCTTTACTGCGGTTGATCACCCCGCTCCGTGAACGTCACTGATAGGATCTGCTCATGCTTGACTGTCAAAATCCAGGCTGTATCAGCTGGTTTCTAAAGATGAACGCCAATGGTTGGTCGGTGATCAACAATTTAAACGTCTCTTGTGTCACCTTCGGCGATCGGCACATCGGCAGAGACACAGCGACCAAAAAGTGAAATCCTTGAAATCCGGTCTACCTTGCCCTAAGGACCATCCTGAATCACCAACGACCAACGACCAGGTTCACTCAAACCATACTGACCGAGTATCAAAAAAGGTTGCTCCTCAGATGAGTTAGTGAGCAGATTCCAACAAGATCATTTTAAACGTTGAAATTACATCTATTCTCATTTGACCCAAAAGGGAAGACTTTGAACTCGATTACTGACATAAAAATTCGAACTTCTAAAAGTTTTCGAATACCCTGTAGGAATCCCAAATAACGTCAGTTATGAGCCAAAATCTGAGGTGTTAACGAAACCTAGTTTGTTCATAACCTGGGCGGTCGAACTAAAACGTTGTCATAGATCCAAGACTAGCAACGCACTTTTGCTACTGGATAGGTTTTGAGACTACTTTTGCGTTAAACTGAATACTGAAAACCTCATCCTCATTATCATTTCGTTAGCTCCTTCTTATGACATTCGCCTCTTGTAGAATATACTTTTGCATATTTGTATAATGTATTTTATCGAACGATATCTCAGGATGTGGGTGACTTTTCGGGTGAGTATACAAAAGTCTGAGCTGAGACTTTCGTCTGTCACTGAGTGACACATTCTACCTAGGTTACTGTTCTTGTTCACTGAGGTTTGTATGAAAAAAAATATCTTTGGAAATGCAACCCTTGGAATTTATAAAATTAAAGTCTATAATCGATTGGGAATAAGTTTCCATGGGTGGAATCATAACTGTTGGAAAAACACGACTAAACAGCATGCTTTGCCGATAATTAAACCAAGTAGATGTCACATACAGCTCAGCCTTTTCGACCTTGTTCATGCAGAACACGGTGCGGATATTCCAACTTTTTCGGTCTTCTTATGTCACAGAATGAATACGCAAGCCTTCATGGATCTCTATTACCAATGAGTATCCACTTTGGAATACGCAATCGCCTGTACTAAAGTGGATCGAAGATTCTGAGGAGGGTGCGTCGGTAAATGAAATGGAAAGAAAAGCAAAAAACCGCAAAGTTGTCAACAGACGCTATTTCTTTCATTCATCAGTCAAATCGCTTTGAAGCAACAAGCAAAACCGACAAGAATTCAGTGCGAAAGCCCACAACTAGTTGCACAAACTTCAACGACCTGTTCGAATGTTATTGGACCACGCGCATCAGCAATCCCAGAAAAGGACTGCAATCCCATCTCCCCAGGATGATCCTATTTTCCATCTTTGAAAAACAGTTGGTAGTCGATTGCTGCCTGTTGACTGGTGGCAAAGAGGATATACTTGACGGGTTTTCTACCTCAGAGATTACTCTCAGTGGCGAGTAAACGTCGATGACCCAACCAAAACAGGCCAAAAACACTCCGAAATGTGATCAAGAGAGACAATTATTATTATAGGAAGTGGAAAACAGAAAAAACAAGATGAAATACCATTACATATCTAGCTTATCACAATAGTTTCGTGAACTAATCCATTTAATGGTTGTCAAGGTTGTTATTCGAAAAAATAGCATCTAGTGTGAGAATATTTGGTAATCTCATGGTCAAACGAAATAGTGCACGTAAAGCATTCCTGCAGCACTGCCCAAGACNGCTCAATCAAAGGACCATGCCACCCAAAACCGACAAGCCAGTAAATAGTGAATCCGTAGAAAAGCAACAACGACGGCAGTAGATCGACCAGTCTGAGTGGCTGTAGTACGGCAGCTTCTTTGTGCATTTCTTTTGGCATTGCTTTCATGATAATTCCTTGTATATCATCGGAAGCCGGATGCAACCCTCCGTTCGGTATTGTGCTTGACAAGTGGTTTGTTTCGCCGTCGGCTTTACACAGCGAATGGCCGTCCGATGGATAAAAGTGGCTCTGGAGATTTTCAACAAATCTGAAATCATGAAATATCGGAACATGCGTTTCAGATCATTGCGCTCTAGTAAACGTGGACCAAAGCCAGAAGATGAAACTCACACAGGATAGTCTAATTCGAATACCGTTAAACCTTTATCGTTAAATGTCCCGTAACCATCCAAGAATTGCTCGATGTGAAGCTAAGATGTCCCGAGGGGAAAAGGGATTGCTCAAAGCTTGGGGTTTCATATAATCTTGGGACGCTCTGTCGTCCAAAGTCATCCAAAGATTTCTGCTGGGATAGTTGCAGATTCCGGAACGTCTGAGCATGAGAAACGTTACAGAATTCTTGAGAGGAGTCAAGCACAGTAAAAAAAACTGCCATACAGTGCTCTTGCTATTTTTATCGATGGCTTGCAGTTATGGTGTAATCGGATGAGACTGTTTCCTGAACATTAGATGCGAGTTCGTTTGTGAAGGTATAGTCAGTTCTGGGGCGGATCCCATCACATCAGAGCATTTAGCGTGATTAGGGCTGACTAGACAGGCACATATCTCATGTGACACGTGTTGTGGTGCTGGTGTAATACACCTTCCAGAATGAGGAGCACATGAATCTCTGAGTGACTGACCACAGGCCCTAGAAGACATCACCCAGTTGCTGATGTCAGTGGCATTTATGCGGTTCACTTTTTATTCAACTTATCTGAATGGTTGGACGAGCAGACCCCTTGGGTTTTAGTGGTAGAATAACACTGGGTTCCTCTATCTGTCCCACCCCATTCTCTTCATTATGGAACTCAAGATGAATTTAGTAACATCTATGCAACCGTGAGGCAATGGTGTTCGTCAAGATAGTGATGCTACTTCAGTTGACGGTCGTGAATTGTCCATCTCAAGTCCATGCATCCGCCGACCAGCCTTGAGTGACTGGTGACGACCAATGCCTTCAAGGGATGTCTCATACAGTTGAGGCTTACTGCGACTGCCAGTTTATCATTCCAAAGATCCTGTTGTAGTCCAAGCCACTGGCACGTTGATTATCGGGTTCTCCATGATGACCGATAAGTGATCCAACCAGCTAGGTTACTTGAAGAAGTCAAAAGCTTAGCAATGAACTACTCTTACTCAGTCAATGTAAAATGTGAAGACGATTTTTGCGTTCCTAAAACCTAGCCACAAATCATCATGCCGACCGTATTGTTGTGGGATTCCATCTTAAGATTTATTTACTATGTTCTCAGAAAAAGTAAACTCAACCTGAAAATGACTTACTCGTCTTTGATGTGGAATCGTTCGCACAACCATTTGTACAGTTGGTTATCGCCTACCGGCACAGAATGGATGGGGATGCGTGTCACGTGAATGTGCAAACTTCGTGTGGAATCCATCCAATCTAAGGGTTCCGGAGTGGGGAGGGGCGAGACGTGGGACAGTGTAATGGTGATCCAATATATAAAGTGACAGCTGAGTTACAGTGCGTCTAGCGGCGAAATCAAAACAGTTAGCGAACTCAAATTAGTATGAGAAATCCCTTCATCCGCTTCGGTTCGGGACCACTCAGGTGATACATGTTTAAATGAAAACTATAAAGGATTTGCATCAACATGCTTTTCTACGGCTTGGAGCAGCTCTTGTGCCCTGGAACAAAAAAGTTTATGAAAGGTTAGTGGTCTGAGAGGTCTGATTTCATAGATCTGTATGGAATACATTTTGCAATGAGTGACGGCTGTGGGACAGAAAATTAGCACAGTTCGTCGAATATGATGTAACAACCAACTGGTTATTCCACAACCACTTTTCCATGAAGTGTGCGGAAAAACCATGCACTACTTCGACTGAGAGCGTGATGGTTTCCACGAAAGTGATCTTGGAAGAATCCGGGTCCTTCGCAAATAAGGTTATACTGTCGCAATAGTTGATGCCGATAAACGTCTCTATAGGTAGACAGATGATCACCTCACCTTCTAAGCTACTGTACAGATCCCTTCACTTGGACTATCAAGCAGAGGTGGTAGGGAGATTGAACAATCACCGAATCCACATACCCGGTTTAAACTACCTTACCAAAATGTCAACCAACAGATATTTGCGGTTGGGCTAACAGCGACGTACACGCTTTCACGCGGCTGACAAAAGCATCGTGGGGACGAACTGGGATTAGTTCAAGTAGGAAACCTTGGATCCTCAACGCGGAGGTCTCCCTAACCTTAATTAACGCCTGATAAATCCGGATTTCCTAGGCAGGAGATATCCAGCGGCCAAAGTCTATTGTTCATCGGTAGCCTCGACCAATAATTAGAGCTTGGTGGTTAGATAAGGTGTCCAATAATGAAATCCAGAGTTGTTGTCAATAACTGCGCTGCCAACCTCAGCTCCTTCAACGAGGGAGCTTAAGATATTCTGGACATTATCAAGCAAGAACGGTAGCGAAAAGAACTAATAACGCAAAGGATTTCAGAATAAACAAGCGAGTAGTGTAGAAAGTTGGCGGTAGCCTGTCTGTATTCTTTTCATCATGACAATCGGGGAGATCCCGTCAGGTTCGATGAACCAAACACACAAAGGATGTTAACGAACTGAAGTCTCAGACACACGGCAACTATGTTGGGGGAGCAACTAAAACGGTTCCGTGACACAAGGATGAGCGACCAAACGAGACCATCACTATTGCTTGGAATTCTCAATTCAGGATTCATCAAATCCGCTACCTTCACCACATTTACTGGAAGTCCCTACGTTAGCTGACGCAAGATAAAGTTACCCAAAATTGGTGCCAGTTGATGAGAGCAGTAACATCCTGTAATGATAGTTAACCTCAGCAAGGATGAAACAGCCTACCCCTGTACTGAATTCAGCTGACGTCACTCAGTGAAATCTACTTGGATGTGATTGACGCTTCCGGCAAGTCACCAACCTTTGCCTGAACGGCCATGGTGATGTCTCCTCGCATATCAACCACCAACCTCAGCGAAAACACAAGTGATGAACGACCATGATTATTGTGTCCGTTGGAGATGAGAAAGGTCGGATCATGCGTAAAAGAAACCAAAAGAATCCATTTTGAATGGCCAGTATTAATCAAAGGTATTAATTGTCTTCACAATGTCATCAAAATGCGTCCGCATATTTGGTTCGTTTTCTTCAACCGGACTTCCGCCCGTGAACCTCTGGTAAACAGAAATGAATGAACTGTGGAGCCCATGGATATGCGTGCGCAAATAGAATGCACAACGTAAAATATTCATCTTAGATGTGCTCTCACTTCATAAGCATCATCTCAACTAAATGTTAGGAACTAAGTAATGCAATGAGATAGCTGTTCGAATACGGACCCAAACTTCATCACAGGTGATACAGTAATGACAACGTCCGTGTTCAGCTGTCGAAAGGCTTCAAAAAACAGATACACGAAGGTTGACACATCGGGATACACTTCACACAAAGTATTCCACACCTTGGAAAGTGGAAATCACAGCCATTTGAAATTGTCTGAGTTTGATGGCTTTGTTCTATCACCCATCGATGTTGTGATGTCAGTGCCCAGTGGCAAGTTGTGTTGCATTACGTCACACTGGCGTATTTCATTACAACGCACCGCTATCCAATGACATAACTCAGGACATCTCAACTGATGATGAAAGGTTTGCGACGACACTACAAGGTCCAACCATTTAGCACACGGACTAAGTAACTAAACTTCACTTCCATAACAATGTCTAATGTCTTATAAATGACCAGATGCCTCACAAAATGGATTACGTTCACTTCAGTACATTGTGCACGCCACACCAAGAGGGTTCCACAATTTAGTTGACGATCCAAGGTAGAGGATACCGTCACGAAAACCACACTGCATTCCATAGAAGTAATATACTAATCACAAGTTTGATGAAAACTCTTCGACACGTAAAGACCGGTTTCGCTTAAGAACATCATAATTGAGAGATTCAGCCGGGTTCCAGATGAGTCACCCTTAAAAACCAAAGTGATATGCAAATGAGTGCATTTATCATACACATCAATCAGTCGACCTAATGAAAGATATACGGGGGTGGGACCAATTTCGACACCAGATTAGAGTCTCCTGAACACTGAAATCGAAAATTCAGCTGTTTCCAAAGTACTGAGTTCCGGGGTTGAGGATTCAAGGAGATCGGAATGTTGTCGGATTATGCGCTTGCAAATCGTAGATAAAAACCTCTACAAATAATGTGTAGACTGACCCATACAAACCAGTTTGAGAAAATATCAAACAAACTGGAGTCACAGACAAACCAAACAACAGGCCAAAGAAGGTCGCAATCATCCTGGGTTCGTTTGAATCATCCTTCCACACCGACTGAATATGTATACCTGAGTTAAACCACCTGGAATTGACGGTTTAGAACCTCACTACATTCTAAACATGATAACACAAAATATGCGACATTCTGTAGAAGTCGTACGAGCAAAAAAACAGATCACCAAAAGATACTTTCCAAGTGCACTGACCTGTGAATTTTTATGATCATTAGTAACAAAAGGTTAAACTTTCAAAGCAGTTATCCATATTCCCAACAATTTAGGTGACACTAGTGGTGAAAAGGCAGCGGACAGTTATCAGGGAGCTTGCGACATTTCATAAAATATCAAGTTTGCAAAATGGCACTGGAATCAATCAATGCTTCTGGAAGTTACTCTTATACTCGAATGTTTGGGGTGGCAAAACTTGGTATTCTGTCCTGTGCACTTGGTAATATACAGCCTAGTTCACCACTCTCAATCTTAACTCGGTGAGACCAGCTTGTTGAGAACTATGCGTTCCAGATGAGAGAACACAGATGATGTTCCAGAACACAGATGTTCCAGATGAGAACAGAGATGTGAGAAGCGTTAGATGAAACAGTGTCCAAATAGGTATGTGGTTGACAAATAATGCGACTGTAATCGAGATTCGCTCCTGTAAGTGAAGTCAGTCTATGGCGGAAAGCCTAGAATTGTGACCATGTTTAGGAGAGACTGAACTGCACCATGAATCTCATCCCTTGGAACTTTGATTGGAATGATTTGATTTTTAGCGGCAATGACAAGATCGCCCGTTTAGCTCCGATGTGTGTGCTAGCAGGGACCGCGGAAAAGATAACCTGACTGGCCGGCCAGATAACACCTGGCCGGCGTGGTAGCTCATTTGTGGTGGGACAAATCGCTTAGCGATTTTGAATGAGAAACAGGCAACCGATTCAGGAAACAAGGTACTAACTCTACTCCTGCTTCCTTTGATACCAAAAAAAAACCAGCTGGGATTCACAGTCTTCCACCACGTTAATCCGGCAATACGCATTAAAAATGTGGTCACTGTGTTGCAACATGATCAACAGTGAGTCCAGAATACTAGATTCGAGCATAAATAAGACTATTGGTTACATTCTCTGATTAGAAAATTGTTCTGGTCAGCTCTGCAGGTTGTCTGAAATGGCATGTAATATATCTATGGTACATTATTTGCGATAAATTGTTCTAATTGAGACCAACTTCAAAACTAGGCAAATCTTATGTTAGCGCTTCAGATTCAATTGTCCTGAGGAATTGTCGAAAACTAATCAGTTCTACCAGCACTCCAAGTACCATAATCAAAGTGTCCATTTAGATTTGGATAGTAACTCCTTCAAAGAGCGTCACTCAAAAAATTAAGAGCTTTGCGCTCAAAACCAGAAGAAACGCTTACTCATGACTACGTGAAACGTGTGAGAACTCTTGTTCGTTGCATTTTCTAACTTTGCTGAACCCTTGTATGAGAAGCTGGTATTTTTTCGCTGTGAATCATTCAAATATAAAGACCATAAGGATGCCCGCTACACCACACTAGCTGTTCTATAAACCTTACTCAAACATACCACATCAACACAGTTCATCGGGGCTATGGATGTGCTCAAGTCGTCCAACACACAATGGTAATTCACATACCGGACTAAGGACTCACACATAGACTTAAAAATTGAGTCAATGAGAACAGAAGAAGCATCAGAACAAACTTACTTAAAAGCTGAGGGACTCGTATCCGGTGGTCCAGCGGACGGCCATGAGCATCAGCGTAGACAACGGACACGTCGTAGATCACATCTACGTAGTCACGAAAGTTGTCCAAAAGAAGTTTTAATCCTTTGTAACGCGGTGTCAGGTGGTGGCGTAGTGGTTTCGTCCCTGGTTTGCGTAAAATGTTCAGAATACTGATATAAGCACACGAAAACGTTTTGCTATTCGGTCTCCAGCAGTTTGTCTGAATGAATAATTTCATTGTAGGCTTGTAAAGTCCGGTAATTTCAAGGTGAAATACTCGACCATACGTTAGAATCATCGTCTACAGTAATTAGAATAGGGGGTACTTGATTCACAAAGCGCTAATACATTTTTCGTATTCGAAATGACAAAAGTCGTTCGACGAAAATCTTGAAAGCCGATTATATCAGATATCAGTCCACTAGTATTTATGCTCTACTACCTGGTAAAACTATATAAGTATTTTCACGTTTCAGTTCTTTTGAGTGGATATCAGTGCTTGTTTGCATGACGTTTATAAGTCTCAAATTGCCTAAAATTGGCAAATTTACGAACCCTTTTCCCCGAAACTTGTTCCTGGAAAGGGATCAACGGAGAAAGTGTGGTAAAAAAATAACCAAGTATAACCGATATCCTAAAACGCCGTTTGTTAATCTACCCGAATAGTGGTCCAGCCCAGGAAGGGGTCACTGCACCGAAAAATTAACTAGAACCATCTACATGGTCAAAAATGATCTACATTTCCTAATCAAAAGTTTTATATACAATATTTTACAAGTCTCCATTTTGTGCTCAAAACAGGGTCATTTTGATTGAGGTATGGTGTCTAATGGAAGGTTATACTGTCTTCAGCTACTCTTAGAATTCGATGAACTCTAGCATTTCACAAATAGAAGGAAGCACAGAAGGAAGCGTTCCAATAGTAGTGGTGATTATGTGGTTATATTTGGTGATTTTACAAAATGATGTCCTTCTGTCGGTAAAGTCGGTATATGCTGAAAAGCTGAGGAGCACTTCACACCTCTTTCATCCATATTGGGAAAAATCTACCGGGTACATCCCACAAAATCCCCCAGAGGTTCGAGTCCACGACCTTCCGACCAGCAGTTAAAGACCAAACCGATCATCAAGTGTAACTTATGTAGGTAAAGCATGAGTAGATATGATATAACTTGACCAATTGTGCAAGCGCGGAATTCACTTTACATGACCATGCGACGAATGAATTCTCGAGTGACGACTTCCCAAATGAGAGGATTCCGTTTCTTATGCAATTCAGTGTCACAGGAATGTGTGCGAACTAATCATACTGCTGACCAGCCATTTGTGGCCGAACAGGATGTATTTAAACCACGCATTTCGCTTTTCTGGTTCGCCATGTGTGTTAAACCACTGCTGATATTTCTAAATAATAAGGATGAATTGGCTGTCCAGCACTTCCCAGGTTCTTGGCACAGCTTAGCCTCGCTCACAGAACGCGCGATTGCATTGGGACACCTGGAACTGTTAATCAAATAAGATACACATGCATTTTCGGATAAATCACCTGCCATGCTAGCAATTAAATTTGACGTGGTCGATAGGCAAGATTCAGGAAACTCAAGTCCGTTGTAATCACCCAACAATGAGTTGTTTTGTGTAAAATGTCTGTTTAATTGTCCACAATCTGAGCATACGTATGTCAACAAATCGCCGGTCTAAGATGTAACTTTTGTAACAGTTGTTTTGGAGCTACGTTATTTTAACAGTTTCCGCTCTATATTTCTTCCATATTTTGTCCAAAGAATGCGAATACTCGCTTAACTTTCAATTATTGTTTGCCACCATCGTTTGTCTATGTGGTCACGTGCTCATTGTGACTAACTGATTAGTTAAACAATACGGACAGCGAGATTCATGAAAGAAAACGTTCGGCTCTAGTAGACTTTAAGGTATCCTAAAGGTAACAATAATCTCCCATGAAAATTGTTCAAAAATAACTCCCTTTTCGGTGCCCAACTCGCATAGCACCAGAAGGAAGCACGAGGGCTGGGATAGTTCCAGGTTTCCCAAGCCTAGACAGAGGAAGTCGAGAGGCAGAGGTCGGGTTCGAACCACGGACCTCCCGGTCAGTGAATTTGCGTTCTAACCACTTGAGTCATCTCACCCAAGTCTCCCTTGAGTTTGCCAGCAACAGATGGTTTACTCAGTTGCATGACAACAAGCGTTTTCGCATACCACTACTTCCAATATACGGCTTACAAATGCAGCACTTATTGTAAACGAGTATACTAGCATAATGGTTGGTTGTACGGCAGTCAAGCATCGGTGTTGAATACTGATGTCATGCTGTCGATGATGATGATGATGTCACAACCGGCTGCAGATCTGCAAGTCATGCTGTCGATGATGATGATGATGTCACAACCGGCTGCACGAAGATCTGCAAGATATTCTTGAGGCAAAGCGAAACTGATTATGCCTTTAGTTGATTAACCGTGAGAGGACGACAGAGATAGAGAGTATTAGGTGTCCTTTTCGGGATCTCCCTGCCGCATCAGGCCCAATGGAATTCGAAACAAGTGAGTAAGGACCACATGCTGCTTTAGGCAACGCAGTTTGTGGAACGGCATGAGCGCAACTTAGCCCGTTTGAACAGGGGGGAGGAATGAGACCTGAGGGGAAAAGCGCAGTTCTAATGCACGTGGCTATCACTGTTGATAGAGTATGGTTGCCAAATATGACAGGAAGAACCACAAATATGAGGTACATAGAGCATGAGTTGAGTGGACTGTTGATTCACCCCACTCACTAGCCACAGTAAAGTGAAAATATCTGCTCCAGCACCACTACAGTAGCAACATATGACAAAATGTATTGTCAGGTGGGTGTGGAGCAGTATACAGCATACACAGGACACATTTTCCTATCAACCGTCTTCTAGCTTTAGCCTTTTACTACACAATCTTGCGTTCTCATAGACCTGGCCTCGGTGATGGATGTGGTGGGCAAAAGTCTAGACGGTTAGATCTGCTTTCTATTTCGTAAGCGCGATCAGTGTTGCAAGATCTTTCCTTGGGTCAACCAACTCCAGAAGTCTATGCAGCTCCGTAAGCAATGTGAGAGTATTTAAATCAGTATGGGTCCGTCACATGAGAATCGAGTCACAGCAGTAATCAGATGTTCATGTTCTGTAGGAAAAAATTAGGTATATGTGGGGAACCCTGACAGGCGCATAATATTTAGGTCAGGATCGGGCCGAGTAAAGTTTGGTTACCTATAAAGTTTCGTGACTGCTCAAGGTGAGACATGAAAGACTCGAGTATATATATATATATACTTTATAGAATATCTTTCACTGAGCTGCTTTGTAGTCGTGTACGAACTGATTTAAATGAAATGTTATGGAGGCATCTAGATGGTCACCATAAATGGCAAAACAGACGCCGCTGGGTGCAGGGAGATACGACTGTAACAATGCAAGTAACCCTGTCAAGGCTATCAGCGGATGAACACGGGAATCAAATATATACTAGTTTGGGGATTATACCGACAAAGTGCACTGCGACACAATCCTGCACTTCGGCTCAACTGCTAGTGAGGGGCAGACGAACACACAAGCCTACATCGCAATCCTACTTTCCAGCGAGCAGCAGGACCCGGAGACGAATACGACACCAAACGAGTAGAATTTGTATGTCAGGAGCATCTCAGCATTGTTTCAAAGAGGGTGGGAATTTAATCTTTATTTACACCGCCAGGTCGTAAGCCTGTTTTATTATTCGCAATAAGCAGTTGATCTGGCAATGTTTTCTTGTTAGAAAAGGCCACCAACCACTAGCGTATGCGTTCGTGCAAAGTTTTGAACCAATATCTCGTCGTGTACTGTACTCAAAACACCCACTGAGTTTTGTACAGTTTTTGTCACAGTAGGAGAGGGCATGACTGCGCAGGTGGTTCAGTAGATCCGACAAACTCGGTTTACGCCGCACCAACTAACTGGCTTGTTCAGGAAATTTGGTGCCAAAATGCCAAACGGGGGAAAGCCAAAATCGAAATTCGCGCTGCATAGCTTCAGTGTCATACTCGTTGGCTCTTCGACCAGGGATAAAATCTGAACCTGGCTACATACATACTTGTACTTCGAGTGATACAGGAAAATATATGTCATCTCTCAAGTTGAACAATTTATCTTTGATGATGATCGACTGTGTCGGGATGTCCGGGTAAACAGGAAATACAGGTATCATACACCCTAGTGCTGATGGCTAAATTGTGCCGTGCATCGTAAGAATTAGGTATCTTGCTATGATTTACTACTAAGAGGAAAAGTGCAGTCACGTCCTTTGCTGGGAAAGCGCGAAGCTCATTGGACGAAAACGATCGATAGAAACAGACATTGGATTTATTCTGGTATTGCACGAATCAACTTTGTTCTACCGCTCGTAAGAGATTCTTTGGAATGTGTCTAGCAGTTATTTGCGGGAGCCATCGATGCGCTTCCCCTAGTGCTGGTTCACTGGAATTTTTCGGCAGGAAAAGCTGGTGCCCCTGAAGTAGAATGGCTGAGCACATTGTCAAGTGTCTTGTCCGAGCGATGGGACGAAGTTGGATGGAAACAAAACAGAACTTATCGAGACACAAGACCCTGCTACCTGACAAAAAACCTTGGTTAATTTAGCTCCAAAATTTAATTCGAAAGTGTACATTGTGATGCAAGGAAATAAATGTCGGTCTTTGGTGCACAAGTGTGAGGGCGCATTATTCGTTGATTGCCCGTTTGCATTTTCTGACCAACAGTGAAAGATGAATGGGACGCGGCAGTATGTGGTTGGGCCGCTTCTACCCACATACAAACTCTGTTGAAAAGAAGCAGTACTGTTTGATGCGATCCGTGTCGCATTACCAAGCTTACCTATACAAAGTGATCAGCTGACTTTCGTTGATGGGGTAAATATATCGGTTGCATGCACAGGGCTGTTTGGTAACGCGAAAGGAAGCCGCACCTATCGTCCTTCAGCTCAGCTGAACCAGAAATCGGACACACGGGAATACAAATAAAGCAGGTAATGTAACGTTCACCGGTTTGGCCTATGCGTCCGATACGATTATTCTAGATTCTACGAGTGTGTTCAACCTAATTTGGCGACCTGAATCTGGTCGAAATGCTGTGCGATCAATGGGACATTCACTAATGACCCAAATTCACACTGGTCACCATTATGGTAATGGGAGAATTTCGGAAGTCTCAGCTAAAATTTCTTACTTTATAATGAAAGAATTTGAAGAAATCTGTAATGTCGACACTTGAAGGATAACATTGTCTTTATTAGATGCTGTCATTGGCTCTAATCTTTGTACGACTAGTGGTGTGGTATAAATGTATGAAACGTTTCTCTTCCAACAGTCATGCGCGGTAAATCGTCAGAATACTTTTTCTGGGAAGACGTATAACGCCAGCTGTACTGACAAATATATATGTACGATAGCACGATTAGGAGCATTCCGCTTCAGCTAGCGATCGACACCTTATGGTCACGGTCCAGGTAACCTTATTTCAGAGGATGATTGACAATTCCATGCAGAACAGGACATTTTAGTTCCTGAGGCAGCCTACGATTACAGAACATTTCCGTTTCAGTCGTTTCAGCTGTCTCAATGGGTGGATCAGCAAACGTGTCAACTCATATCTGGACTGGAAGTTGAGTCCGGAGGGGTTACAAAGCCAATGACTGTTGGCTGACCGAACAGGTTACATGGTACTTAGTTCAGGGTTTAAAATTGAACAAATCTTATACGTCAGGGTTTGTGGTCGTACCTCAGACGATTGACAGTCGTGTCCAGTTTAACTTTCTAGGTTGCTGAATCAGCTTTTGGAAGACTGTAATCCATGTGGCCAGTATCATCACTTGATTCATGTCGAGGGCTTTAAGCATGCGACAAACATTTTCACCAATCTTATGACTAATGTGGTGCTTCTCCCTTGCTGTGCTCAGTTGTGCCGTAGCACCAAAGGTTTTTCTAGACTAGCGAATCAAATCCAAGTTCCGCGTACCTCTGGACCGCCGTGATAGATCACCCACCCATAGTGTAACCTCATTACACAGGCCCGATGCTGACTTGTGCAAACAGATTTTCAATCGTATCCCTCGTTATGCCGTCATCAGTCACGCAGGCCACACGTTCATGACAGTGTGTCTTGGCTGCGGTGACCCTTATTGAACGCGCCGTCGAATGTATTCTGTGTCACCACCATCTGCCTTGACTTCGGTCCACCATTTTCTCACATCACTGGACAATAAAATCGGCAGATTCGTCCTTATGCTTCACTATGCTTGCTGTCCCGACTATGTGACGACCGGTGCGTCAGGGCGCGGATGGAGTGACATTTCGACCTAGTAATTTGACGTCATCAGATCAACAGACATTGTGTTTATTATGGGTGACCCTACGTGGCTGCATGAGTAATCGCTTTGGTGAACAGAAGACAACCAGGTGACGCACTGGTATTGTTCGGCCTGTTTGGTGTGTTGATAAGCCAGTTCTGTCAGGTTTGCGCAGAAACTGAGCTCCATGTACTTGTGTCTTTCAATCCTTGGCGTACACACAACTTTCGTCATTGGTTATCAAGACCTCATCATGCCGGCACGAGATAGACAGCTATGGTCTGTGGTCGTATAGAGCACCGCACATAGTCAGTGCAGATATGGTGAATCAATGCTCCCAGGCTTAAAGGTACGCTACAGAAAACAGGCGATGGTGAGTGTCATTATATTATTTCGTCTAGTGAAAATTTTGAAACCATTATAATTGCTTATAAACTCTAGCATTTTTATCATTACGAGTGTCATTATTGGACAAACCTCACCATTGTTCCGAGCAAACTCCGCGCTTTTTTCGATGACATCGAGGTGTTCGGGGTTGAAGCGTTTGCCTTCAGGATAAATTATCATCCAAACCTACAACAAGAAAAGACAGAGGCAAACTTGCAGAACCTGATTAATTATCAGGCAGTGACCGAGGGTAACCTCACGCCATAGGATTGACTGACGTTGATGATATGATTCTGTAAGCACACATTCAGTGAGAAGTTAAAAAAGCAGTATTTCAGCGCACTACTTTCTCAGGATGTATTTAGGATCTAAGAAAGCCTTTGCCGATGTGATCCGGTTTCGTGTAAACAGTAGGTGGTAAGATGGGTCTTGTCTTTAGAACATAATGAAGGAAGATTGTACCGCTTAACTTGGAGTTCAGCCCACCATTTTATCAGGAGAACAGCTGGTCAACTTTTAGTTCGGAGTAGCTCCCTCTCCTGTGTAGGCATAGTCGTGGTAATTAACTGGATTTTACTAATTTTTCCAGGAGGTCATACCCATTACCACATCGTTTTTAATAAAAAGTAAGGTATGAAAGATAGCATCCTGTAAACTGTTGTTTTTAGCCTAGTACAGCAGTGGAAAGATCACCTTTAGTTGAATTGGAATTACAAATCACGAAGTTTGCTCTTACTACGGGCAGGCTCCTCTTCAAAACAAACTTACCAGCAACACCCGACCAAACCAGCTGGTCTGGCACCAGAATGGTGTCACCAAAACCTCTTTTAGATTTTAGGGAGTATTCTGAGTTTATGCAGCCATCTGATTTGGTTCACCTCTATTCCGATACTCTGGAGTTACGGGCATCTACTAGCCACAATTATGGAGTTCCTAGTACACCTTATGTTAGACTTAGGTCGTTAGGTTGAACAGACATTCCTTTTCAGAAAAGTAAGGGTTTGGTAACCAAGTATTCCCAATACGGATGCGAAATTCGATTAACCATAAATCAAATCGAGCAAGGGGACTGCTGACCAGCAGTAGGTGTAACGATCGTCCTGTCGAAGGTAATGAAGGTTATGTAAGTGGTTAAAGTGGCAAATTTTTTCAACACCAACTATGTATATTCTTTAGTGATGATAATGGATCTCAGGCTTTCAATCAGCACTCTACTGAGAGATGTCCTGTCCGAATGCCTGCGTGCAGCACATTCCGCTAGACGACATCATAAACGAGAGATTCAATTGAGTCTCCCGTGAAAACCCGTGAAAATTGATTTGCAAATGAGTGTATGTCCCAAAACTACCTTTCCAGAGTGACCACTGTATTTATTCCGAGAACTATGCCATTCCGCAGCTTTGCGTAGATGAACCCTTATTATACCTATTGAATTTTTCCACTGGATTATAATTCAGCCGATGCGAACCAATCACACTATCAGTTGGCTTTAAGCATCGGCTGCCATCAACCGACTGTGCCGTGAGTAAAAAGGCAAGTTTAGCTTTATATCTCCTATGTGGTGACCTCGGTTGTTTCGTACCCACCTCTGGGTATCCTGTTACCATCCGCTCACACAACCTATGAGAATAGTTTTGCCGTAATAGTTGGATCTCTGTATTGTATCGCTCTGTGAAACCGAAGCTTAATAGGGTAGCTACAACGTAAATATCAATAAAAAGCGTGTTATTGAAAAACTACTCATAAGATGGCTGCAAACGCTTTGAGTACCATCATTGGGAGACTCAACTGACATTCAGTTGAGTCCCCCGTGAAAATCAAATTGATATGCAAACGCGTGCATTTTTTCCTTATATAAACTGACAACTTAATGAGTCCGCAGGAAACCAGGGGCATCTGGCATTTCAAAATACATTTGACATGAATACGGCTCTGGGAGGAAACAGGCCGTGTATTTTCGTATGCTGAAACGGTGCCCAGCACAAAGGCCAAATTAGCAAAGATAAGACAGATACAGGAAATCCTATGAGGTTCAATTCGTAAGTACACACACGAAGTGTCTCACCTCTTCCTTGATGTGTCGATTTCCTCCCGTAACTTGATGTGTTATCGTTCACCGTCGTTTAACTGAACTCGTTGTAGTCAAGCCAATCCCAACAAATAGAGGCGATAATGATTTATGTCGCTTAGTCCCCTAGTCAAATAACAAAAGTAGAATCTTCTTATCAATGACTATTTGCTTATTTGTGCTCCAGTGGGGTTTCCTGAAATTTCTGGACATGAAAGTCTTTGGTCAAATTGATTATTAAAAGACGGCTCAGTGGGTAACAGGAAAGATGTGTCACGTGATTAAGGGAACGGTTCAGTATACTCACATCGGACTGTACTTCTTTGATCTCGTTCATGACGTCCACTGCTTTTTGCGCCTGGAAATTGGACCGGTCGACAAAAACGAACGAATCCTGAAACGCGTCGCGGAAAAATTTAAACCCAGATGTTACTCAGTAAGATATCTAGTTTGCAAACGGACCGCGAAGCTGATTAAAGTCTCTTCCTAAACAGATAACATGCGAACATAAAAAAAAACGTTCGGTGCACTTCAAACATCCTTTTTCGGTAGAACTCGTGTGGTCCAAAAAACGGTAACAAGTGGAGTTGATTCCAATTACATGCTTCCAAATACCTTTCTGCCACAAAAGATTCTTCTAGTTTTTCTCTATCAAACGCAATGGAGCTTAAAACTGATGAGAAACGGATATATAGATCTAGTTTATACCACAAACCTCTGCTATTACGGGCTTTGCTGAAGGAAAAATAAACTTACCGACAGCTTTTGCTCAGTTGTAACACACTTCCGTTGCCTAGCTGCCATGCCACCCGAAGGAAGCACGAGGGTTGAGGTACTGTCAGGTTGCCCAAGCTGTCGCTTTAATGAAGCAAGAAACGTAACCTGTGTCTCTAGACAGAGGAACGTTCCACGGACGATTTCACATCAGAAGGCATAAAACTTGTCGCTCATCACAAACGGCATACTTGTAGTGATTTATAAACTAAAAACTGAGTTGATTTCCACAAGTACTCTCATTTGCACACGAATTTAGTTTTGACAGGAGACTCAACTGAGTCCAGCTGATTCTCTCGTCTGTGATGGTTCACTTCAACTGAGTGCGCTGCACCAGGCCGCCCCATGTTCTAGTTAGTACGATATAGTTGGTGTTGCAATACGTTGTTGTTTAGACTCAACATGCTACTCAGAAGGTAGCTGAAAACCCGTTGGCTGTCAGACGGCCATCGATCGGTTTTATCCTTCTTGGTGCTTTCCAGGTGGGCAGGAAATGAGTGTTTGCCAAAATATGTCCAAATTAAGTTCACTTAGAATATTAGGTTGATGGTTACTCGGGGAACGAGTTTATCGGATGAGCCCAAGAAGGGAAGAACCTATAATGGGCTGTCTAATGGTTTCCAGCAACCTTCCGAGTAGCTTGTTACTTCTAAACAACAACGGATTGATTTCAGTTTATTCATTCCGAACTTTGAAAGAAATTTAAACTTGGGTTTACCCTTTGTATCACTTATATCGGCGCCAAATAGACAGGTGCCCAAACGAATTCAACCGATGAGTAGACCAAGCACTGTGCATAGATCTGCCTACGCTACCTATAAATTTTTGGTTGCAGCCAGCTGTTCTTGACGCCATCCTAAGTGCTAATTTGGTTTCATAGCTAAATCTTGCTTGCGCAATGTACAGCCGGGCTTTGCTTGTACGTCTTTGTTGTGAACAATGGAAGTCACGTGACTGAGTTTGATATTGGTCTTGAATACAGATAATACAAGCTGTCACACAGAGACGATGTAACACATATGGACGAATGAACGTGCGTTAAATTGATCATCCTTATGAAGGGCAATACCACTAATTGCTAAAATTGAGTCTAAGAGGTTGATTCGCTAGAAAGAGGAAAGATCCAAGAGTCAACAAAATTTATTGATAGCAGTTGCATAACTTTCACCTTATTGGTTAATGCAAGCCCATCTGGACAAAGTTCCTACATTACAAGTTCATCCTAATCTGTCGACGCAGAATGGGATGATTCACAACATCGGGCCAAACTGGGGGCTCCACTCGCATTGCAGCTTGTTATACCGTTCTCCCGGCAACTGAGGATGGGTTTTGTCCAGTTTTTCCAGGAACATTGTGCTAGCAACTGAAAACCATCCCGTATCATATTCATAGAATAAACAGCTGATTGGTAACCACATATATTCCCTAAGCGAAACGAATTCACTATGCGAAGAGTCAGAAATGCGACTGGGAGTACATCTGAGCGGATCTGAATAGTACTCCCGCTTCGACGAAGAAGAGGTCGGACAGGGGACTCTTGGGTATCAGTGGGACAATTAGATAAATGGATATACTTATCGGATTGCTATCAAAACCATTAGAAAAATCGACACAACTTCCTCTGTACCTGAATGTATAGTACACCGTACAACTCAGTAACAAATAGATTTGTGTCCAATATATGTCACCAAGATGACTCAGTCTCGGCATTCAAANCCGTACAACTCAGTAACAAATAGATTTGTGTCCAATATATGTCACCAAGATGACTCAGTCTCGTCATTCAAAATTGCAGTGAAGAGACACAGGAACAGACTTGAAATGCTCTTTACTTGTTCTGTCAGTTTCACTTCGTCTGTAAGAAGTTTCCCAATATCGCGCATCTCCATCTACAACCACGTCAGTACACGAAATATCGAAGTTCTTTCTTGTAGATCCAGAAAGGTCGCACCTGATACAGAATGTGAGAATCAGCTGGATATTCTAACAAGGAACTTGAGAGACTATGCACGTGCATATTCGACTGGAAACTGATGTTAGTCAGCATCATAAATAGATGTGCATAAACACTACGTGAGCTTAAACCGGTGAATTCCAACAGAGATCCTCCTTAGTGAATCAGTTGCTTGGATTCCTTAACCGTCATAAGATAACTAGGTTTTTCTAATTCTCACTGCCGATTTATGTCCTTTATATCCCTCTACTTTTTCTCCTACCTCTGAGTTTATTATCATGCCTTCAATAAACACATTTTCTCAGCAAAAGTTTGGGGGCAGGGGTTCTTTGGACCTGCACATCACACAGTGCTGTTACAACCCATTTAATTACTTGCCAGTACGTAACAATTGTGTACTGCACGAATGGGTACAAAAGTAGGCTTGTGTTTTGAGTGTAGTGTGAACGATTCACATGTTAACTAGTTCGTTACTACACGGTCGGATTCAAGCTGTAGCTTGAATCCCTATATTTAGTATCGGGTATCTGAAATGAAGCTGTGTTGATGCTTACAACTGGTGTACCTACAACAAGCAGATGATGAGGGTGAAGGGTGCAGTAAAATGCCTTGGTAATTTTTTATGGAATGCAGGCACACTCTGATTCCGCTAGAATACGGGCTAAATTGACGATGATCGATAACAGAAGGATGTTACTCTGTTAGAACCGCACCATCATTACCAGGGCCGTGACAGCCTCAGCAAGAGCAATACAAGTTGTACAGCGGGTTCTGGAGGGTGACGCAATAAATAAACCGGAGGTCACAGATGAGGCTCTGGGAAATGTCAGGGTGGTGTTCACTCGTACATCTACCTTGCTAGAAACCAAGTAATAACCCACGGCTCGCAAATTTATCCAGTGTCAAGGTGCATTAGCGTGGAAAATGATTAAAAGATCGACCTTGAGATAATTAGATGAATACTTTTCGATCATCAGTTGTGATAGCGAAAAGGCCAGGAAAGTGACGGAAAATAAATGCTGGAGTTTTATTAGCCCTATAAGTGGTGGTACGTTAGGGGAATCTTATTCTTCATTTGAGTCGAATGCACCAATAGGCAATAAGCAACGCATTGTTTGCCTAGGTGTACAGTACCTCGTTTGGTATTTTTCCGAGCAGGATTTCCCAAGCTCATCGATTCTGCTACATAACTGTATATCCTCAGGTGTCTTTTTGGTGTTTTACAATCGAACCGTATTGGTTATTCTCTACGGGTTTTTACTGAGGCTCATCTGCAAGACAAGCCAATTTAGAAACTTGATCGTTTCACACAGCAATGGTTTCCGTATTATAAGGCACAAATGTTCGTGCATTGACTTGCTGGAGCACGCAGCCAAGGATAGTTTATCCATAAATGGTGATTCACCACTATTTAAAGCCCAATCCAAAGCGGATTTCAGCCTTCTTCAGGGTGCACAATTAAAGACACGATGCATGAAAATTCGACCCCTTCTCGACATAAGATCATTTGATTCCCTTATGTGAGCATAATGTGGTCAACAGAACTTGGCTACTGTTGTTAACATCAGGCCCTTATAACACAATACCAGTAGTCAATAAGTCAACTTACAGGAACAGTGACTGAAACTGTTACGATTCCCACCAAGGTTTGTAGTATAAATGTCTACAAAATCATTAATCGATTTTTGAAGACAAATACGGTTGTTTGGGGTCAGGCAGATGCCTGAAGTCACCATGTTTGTTTGCTTCATTTGATAACTACAAGATCCTTGAACTCAGATTTCGGCGTCGTTAAGAGTGTAATGAATTCATAGTTAGGTTGTATAGAGTGATTAGACGACCACAAAATTTAGATCTCAAAGATAGAGATCCGCTGCTGGAGCGACAGGTCGCCGGACAGTAGGCAATTATACGAGCAATAAATACTGAATAAAAGGAATAGGTATCTTAGGCTATGGTGGCTGTTTTAGCGAACCGTTGCCAGACAGTGGTCAGAGGACTATGTTGTATTCGTATGGTTTAGGAAATTGCGCAGGAGGGGCCGGGAACTCAGAGAATCATGAACTTGAATGAAATCATGAAGCTATCTGCGGTATACAAATGCCGTAAACGGTTTAGTAAAGATTTGGTTACATAATTGCTTAGTGACCTGTCTTTGTGGTTGTTCTGACAGCCTACAGTTGTGCACAACCCAGGAATTCCAGCTTCAAACTGCTAACTGAACATGCGACCAAAAAGTGCATCTAACAGCTTTCTATCAAGCCAAACCCACGATGAAGGATACCAAGGCATCTGCTGGCGTTGGTGGTGGGCTTTTGACAGTGACCTGTGTTTCCCAGGGGCTGTTGGATAAGAATGTTGAAGTCATTTTAATGCCTGAAACGCGTAGTATGAGGAATTTCTGAGTGTAAGTCAGGGTTTAGGAAAAACGGTGGGGAAGTACATGGCACCTATCTGCACTCGCTGAAAGATGGCATGTCCATGACCAGGGAAGGCTGACTCCCAGCCCAACAGCCCAGTATCCGTGCATACGGGTTACAGTTGTGGAGCCTAATAAAGGTCGTCTTGTCACTCGCCAGTAGTCAGGTTCCAGTCAGCCTTGTAAGGTTTGGACGATTTGACATATCTTTCATGCATCCACTTTTGGTTGGGATCAATGAGGCATT